AGACTATCTTTATTGTACGTTCTTGCCTCCTTTTTCAAATATTAATTGAGCGTAATGGCTTGGGTCGATTTCTGGGTTCTCTGTTCTGTTCCACTGATCTATATGTCTGTTCTTGTGCCAGCACCAGGCTGTTTTGATTACAGTGGCTTTGTAGTATAACTTGATATCTGGTATTGTGATCCCTCCAAATTTGTTCTTCTTTCTCAAGATTGCCGTGGTTATTCAGGGTCTTTTTTGGTTTCATATAAATTTCCAAAGTGTTTGTCTTAGATCTGTGAAATATGCTGTTGGTATTTTAATAGAGATTGTAATGAATTTAGATTGCTTAGGGTACTATGGACATTTTAATGATGTTAATTCTTCCAATCCATGAACACGATATATTCTTCCACTTGTTTGTATCTTCCTCTATCTCCTTTTGCAACGTCCTGTAGTTTTCTGAGTACAGGTGGGTTACCTCCTTGGCTAAGTTTATTCCTAAGTATCTTAATTTTTTGTTGCAATGCTAAATGGGATTGCTTTTTTAGTTTCTCTTTCTGAGAGTTCATTATTGGTGTATGAAAATGTCATCGATTTCTGGGTGTTAAATTTGTATGCTGCTACCTTGCCAAATTCATTTATTAAAACTAGTATTTTTTTGGTGGAGTCTTTAGGATTTTCTATTTATAATATCATCTGCAAATAATGACAGTTTTATTTCCTCCTTTCCAATTTGGATGCCTTTTATGTTTTCTTCTTGTCTGATTGCTGTGGCTAGGACTTCCAGTACTACATTGAATAAGAGTGGTGAAAGAGGACACCCTTTTCTTCTTTCTGTTCTTAGGGGAAGTGCTTTTAGTTTTTGCCCACTGAGTATGATGTTGGCTGTAGGTTTGTCATATATGGCCTTTATTATGTTGAGTTATGATCCCTCTATTTCCACTTTGTTGAGAGTTTTTATCAAAAATGGGTGTTGAATTTTGTTGAATGCTTTTACTGTCTATTGATATGATCATGTGATTTTTGTCTTTGGATTTGTTTATGTAATGTATCACATTTACAGATTTGCAATTATTGTACCAGCCTTACATCCCTGGAATAAATCCCACTTGGTCATGGTGTATGATCTTTTTAATATATTGTTGGATCTGATTTCTAATGTTTTGTTGAAGATTTTAGCATCTATGTTCATCAGGGATATTGGCCTGTAATTCTCTTTCTTTGTAGTGTCTTTATGTAGTATTGGAATTAGGCTAATGCTGGCCTTGCAAAAAGAGCTTGGAAGTGTTCATTCCTCTTGGAGTTTTTGGAATAATTAGAGGACAGGTTTTTGTTCTTTGAATGTTTGATAAAACTCCCCTGTGAATCTGTCCCGACCAGGGCTCTTGTGTGCAGGGAGTTTTTTATTACTGCTTCATCAGTTGTTATTGGTCTATTCACGTTTTCTCACTCTTCCTGATTGAGTTTTGGAAGGTTGTATTTTTCTAGGTATTTGTTCATTTCATCCAAGTTGTCCAGCTTGGTGGCGTATAATTGTTCATAGTATTTTCTTACAATCCCTTGTATTTCTGTTGAGTCAGTTGTTACTTCACCTTCTTCATTTCTGATTTTGTTTATTTGGGCCCTCTTTCTTTGTTTCTTAATGAGTCTGGCTAAAGGTTTATCAATCTTGTTTATCTTTTCAAAGAACCAGCTCTCGGTTTCATTGATCTTTTGCACTGTTTTTTTTTTGTTGTTGTTGTTAGTCTCTATGTCATTTATTTCTGCTCTGACTTTTATTATTTCCCTCCTTCTACTTGCTCTGGGCTTTTCTTGTTGTTCTCTTTCTAGGTCTTTAAGTTGTAGTGTTAGAGAGTTTATTAGAAGTTTTTCTCAGTTTTTGAGGTAGGTCTGTAGTGCTATGAACTTCCCTCTCAGGACTGCTTTCACTGTGTCCCATAGATTTTGAGGGATGACCATATGCATAAGAGGGCAGCCATCTGCAAACCAAGGAGGGAGGCCTCCGAAGAAACCAAACCAGCAAACACCTGGATTTTGGACTTCCAACCTCCAGAACTGTGAAAAATAAATTTGTTTTGTAAACCACTCAGTCTGTGCTATCTTGTTATGGCAGACCCAGAAATCTAATACAGCATCGGAGATGGTTTTCAATCTTGGCAGCTAATTGGAATCAACTGAAGAATGTTAAATATACTGACTACTGGACCTACTCCTAGAGATTCTGATTCAACTGGGCATTACAAGGGATTCTAATGAATATCCAGTGTTGGAACATACATGTCTAGGAGGATAGTTTTCTGGATCTTATAGGGCTGGATGTGAGTGATGAACCTGGCATCGCTTGCAAGATATTTTCCCTCCATGTCTTGCTCCTTCCATTGTTTCCCCCCCCAACACACATCTCCCTTATTTTTCTGCTCTACCCAGGTCCCCACAGATGAAACCAGAGATACCCCCTCCTATTACTACTGCTCCACATCCATGATAAATCCTAATTCGAAACATGTTAAGCTGCATCAGCCCCACTCATGCCCTCCCAGCTAAGAAAAGTGTCTTAAGAGGCCTCACATTCTCTTATTCTGCCTGTTAGCCTGAGCCAGCACAGCACTCGAGCTACATTTGTCACTTAATCCAATTAGAAAATGGATAAAAAACATGAACTGACAATTTACTGGTGGTCAATAGGTATGTGAAAAGATATTTAACATCTTTAGCCATCATGGAAATTCAAATTAAGAACAGAAAGAAACATTAAAGACAACTATGAAAATGGCTAAGAATATATGGACAACACCAAATATAGGCAAAGCTATAGACAGATAAAGTGAGCCCCTTATGTTGCTAATGGGAATGCAAAATGGTACAGGCATTTGGCAAAACAATTTGGCAGTTTCTTTCAAAAGTAAACATGCAATTACCATATTATACACCAATCACACAAAGGAAATTTACCCAGAGAAATGAAAATTTGTGTTCATGCAAAAACCTGTACATGAATATTCCTAACAGTTTTATTCATAATAGTTAAAAAGAGAAAACAATCCAGATGGCCTTCAACAGGTGGTTAAACAAACCAGCAATAAAAAGGAACAGACTATCAATACACTTAACTTAGATGGCTCACAGTGAAGTTATGCTGAGTGAAAGAAATCCCTTCCAAAATGTTGCACAATAGAGGATTCCATTTATGTGACATTTTAAAAATTACAAGAGTGTTTGAAAGAGGTTAGGATGTGGGGCCAGGGAAAAGCTGTTCTCTGTTATAAAGGTTAGCATGAGGGAAACTTGTGGTGATGGGAGAGTTTTGTATCTTGTGTGTAGTGAGAGTTACAGAATCTACACAGCTGGTAAAAGTGCATGGAAATGAGTGCATGTAAAACTGGTGAAATCTCAGTAAGCTTTGTGGACTGCACCAAGAGCCATTTCCTGGTTTGATATTGTACTATAGTAATGCAAGATGTTATCATTGGGAGAAGGTAAATGCAGGGTATACATGACCTCCCTGCACAATTTTTGAAACTTCTGGTAAATCAATAAATATTTCAAAATACGAAAGTTCAAAAAACAACACAAGATTTGTGGGGAAATGTAGTGTTAGGTACACAACTCTCAAAAACGTTGTCAGTGACTTTATTTCAAGACAAGAAGCTAATAAAAAGGTTAGCATAGTTTTGGATCAGTGAAATGATTAAAAAATCCATAAATACTACAATGAATATGGCAGTCGTTTATAAAAGTGAGTGTCACAGCTTGTGAGTTACTCTGAAGTGGTGGAGAGAAGGNAAGTGTTAAGTTTGTTTATAGAAGTGAGTGTCACAGCTTGTGAGTTACTCTAAGGTGATGGAGAGATTATCAGGGTACAGGGAGCAAAGCTTGGATTTTAAGGTAGTCCAGGAATGGAGTCCCTACTCTATAATTTTCAAGCACTGTGAAGGCCTGATATAAATGCTAGAGACTGTCATGAATGAAGGGGAAGACTGGACCTTCTGGTCTTAGCCCCGTTGGCTCATGGTTGGGACAGAGGAAGAGCAATTGAAGACACAAAACATACAATGTGCAGCATAACTCTTTAATATGAAAATAAACAAGGATCATGAATGGGCGAAGTACAAACAACTGGCAGGCTTCAAGGTAAACTTTGGCTTCCTGGTCAGTCAGGCTCCAATCTTAGCCATGGATGTGGCCTCAGGTTGGAAGAGAGATACAGCAAATATGATGAGGGTGGAAAATAGAACACCTAAGGGCTCCTTTCTCGGGCTTTGTTTACAAGACCCTAGGTCACTAAATGAAGGCCTCCTCTGGGACCTTGCCCTTCATCTAGAGAAAGTCAAGAGAGAGCATTGGGAAGACAGTAGAGCAAGCAGTGCTGAGATTCATCCCCAGGCCACCTGACTTCTATCCACTTAGCCTTGCTGAAAACCTGAGGACCGGTGTCCTTTCATCTCTGAATTCTCAGACTTCACTTTTTAATGAGTAAAGAATTTCAAGTTCTGGTATCATTTCGTCATTGTACTAAAAGCACCTGTGGTGGAGGAGGACCCATGACCTCTCTGAAGACCAAAGTGGAGACACTTTGACCACACAATGTCACTGCTAAATCTAGGCCACAAAAAGAATCCTGCAAGTTTACCAAGCTGTATGCACTGGAATGACCAAGTGGCACTGCATGTAATGCTGAAAAAGCAGTGAAAAGACAAATATCTATCAATAATAGCTTATGGCCTAATGGAATTCAATTGCTTAATATATAGATCTCAGCAGGAATAAGGTAGCATAACATACTTAGAGGAAATTATGCTGGTGCTAATAATAAACAAAGGAAGCATCAAATAGTATATACAGTAGGGAAACTGGGTTTTAAAATATATTTCAGTATATTAGCATAAAATTAAGGTATCTTTCACATGAGAAATTTTGTAAAAAAATAATATGTCTAAAATAATTACCTGCAAGTTCCCACTATTCAATCCTCCCAGCTCCCTCCTATCCCCGTGCACACCCATCACTCACTTCTGAGACCACTAGAGGCTCATCTCAGATAGGGTGGAGGAAACCTCCATTTCCTGCTGCTCCTGAGAGAGGATGGTCCCAGTGCTGGAGGAGGGTGTGGGCACTTGGGTGGAAAATGCACTCTGAGTCTTGTCAGGGGTAGCATCCCTCACAAACAGTTCATCATTCATGATGCATAGACTGGAGAAAAATGAACCTTCAGACAACTTATGGATGGACAACCCACACCCTCAAACAATGATCCTGTTTCCACTTCCACTCAGCAACCAGATTCCCCCACACCCCGACTGTAGCTACCCAGCCCCCAATTCCTTGCCTGATAGCTCTGTCACTCCAACAGACACCACCCTTGGATAGACTGTATACCAGTTCCACTAGATTTGTACCTCAAACTCCAATGCATTTACTCTGTGAAACAGCCTAAGGGAGAGGACAGTCTAATCCCATTTTTAAAGGAAAACATAGTGTCACAGCAAGGTCATGTTATTTCACTAAGGTATAAATCTAGTGAGTGTTGGGGTGACAAACCCGACTTAACAGAAACTTGAAACACTTTTCATGTTCTAACTCCAGAGGCCATGCTCTTAATCCCTATGAGGGACTGTTCCTGGATCAACCTGCTGGTTTCCCACAACACACTGAGAAAACCCCAAGGACATGCACTGCCACATTCCCACAGCCCTGAGCCCAGGTTGGGCTGCGTGTGTCCACCCAGAGCACAGCACTCACCTGGAACTGCTGGCAAGGGTAGCGATGAAGGTCCGGGTGAAGGCACGCACAGAACCCTGAGACCTTCCTTCCACTTCAACAACAACAAACAACAAAACCACCTTGGAGTCCCACAAGCTGCACTTGCTCACACAGTGTTCTTCAGTCAGAGTGGGACTTGAGACTCATGCCAAGGGGATAACTGTTCACTGGGAGTCAGGGTGTCGGGAATGGGGAGGGCAACCACAGGAGCAATCAGCTCCCACTGACAAGGACCCTACTATGTGCTGGACCCTGGGACAACCACTTCACAAAGTTCATTTGATTCATTTTTTCAGCTACCCAATAGGTGGGCTTTATTAGCTCCATTTTGCAAATGAGAAAAATGAGAGGTAAGATAATGGGCCCAAGTTCTCACAGTCAGGATCTGGGTTGACAGCCATCAAACCCCACACCTGTGTCCCCAACACCCTAGCTGTGCGGGACTGGCAGGCATGGATACAGGTCAGACCAGGATGGTTTGGCGGCAGACTTGAGGCAGAAGAACAGAGACAGAACAGCAAAGAAAGGGAAGGGATCAGGGAAGCTGAGAGAGTTCTGAGAGGGAGCCCAGCCAGAAGGAGGGAGCAATGGGGCATCTGGGGAGGAGATTCTACATATACTCACCTTCCTTGAACACCCCATTGACACAGAAGAAGAGGAGGTTTTCCTGAAAGGAAAGAGAACAGGTGCTCAGTCTGTACCTACACCTCCCACACACCTTTCTGGGCTCTGCCCCAGAGAGGAAGTGGGTGCTTACCAACTGGAACCACATGTCCACCACGAATGAGCTGAGGTCATGCTGAGTTTTGGGCAACACACAGAGGGAGCTCACAATGTCATGATTTGTATGTTTCAGCAGCTGAAAATTCAGGTCTGTGGGGAAGGACAGCAAAGGTCAGGGTTGCCACACCCTGGGCCCTATGACTGACCCTTCATGCCCCCTTTCCCTGCCATATCTTCCCCATCCCACGCGCACTGGGGTCCTTCGGGTTCTTCATATTCCTGTTATCCTTGAAGTACTCAAACAAGCTGCTTCTAGGAGAAAAAGAGGAACAGGATGTGGTGGTCTGGCCAGTGTGGGTGTTTCCATGAGCTGACCAGTTTCTGCTGGGGAGACACATGCCCCAGAATAAGACTTTGAGCTGCGATACTCACGGGGCTGGATCGTCTGGGATGAAAGGAATGGTCAGGGAGAAGCAGGCCTCATTGTGATAAGCACCAAGGAGACTCTGTCTGTCTCCAGAGTCATAGATCAAGTAATATCTGTGAGGGGACAATGAAGGCAGTCTATCTCTATGGACTAGACCTCAAAGGGGACTTGAAAACTCTTAGGAGCTGACCTGTGCTTGGGTGGTCCTGACTGTCCCAGCCTTCCCCATTCCTGGTGGTCCCCAGGGTACTTACTGCTGTAGGAAATGTTGGACTTGAGTCTTCAGAACATCAGATCCTTCACAGTTTTCCTGGAATCAAAGACATTTGAGACCATGTGGCTGATAAAGCCTCCCTTACAAGAGCCCAAGTGTTGATATTTCTTCCTCACCTTTAATAAGGGCTTTATTAAGTCAGGTCTGTCAATGTCAGCAGTATTTGGTAGAACTAAATCCTGGCCATCCTAGAGAACGGAAGGCAAGTTAGCAGTACAGACCAGGGAGGTGATCCTGGGTGATTAGAGGAAAGTGTGGGCCCAGGAAGGTCAGACATCAGGAGTGAAAGGGCCCTGGAAATTCCGTGGGCCTGATTCCAGTGGACACTTGCATCATAAGGTCCTGGAAGACTCTACTGTTTAATACAACTTGTGTGTGTGTGTGTGTGTGTGTGTGTATGTGTTTTATGTCTGTTTCTCTTTCTCTCTTTCTACCCCTCTCTCCTTCCCTCATTCCTTCTCTCTCTGGCTCTCTTTCTCTCTGTTTGGACATGTTTCACAGAGATCACATTCATGTCTTTTTCATAAGACCATGTCCCCCCAAATGGATAAGGCTCTGATGCAAACATGACATTTTGGCAAGACACAAAGGGCTTGAGAGCAGTTGTGGAGACCATAAGAGATGATGATGAATGTAGGCACTTACCAAGCGTAACAACTTGGGGAAACATTTCCTGATGGCACTGTTCAAATCCAAAAATAGAAAGAAGTGGTTGATAGTTTGGACTGCAAAGCTTCCATTTACTGAAAACACTAATGACATAAACAGAGACAGCTGTTCTGCCCACCCAGCAGCCCCCTTTAGCTTCCTCAGTCTCTGATTTCAAGGTTTCTGGATCCACTTCCCTGCTGAGCACTGATCATCTGCCATATGGAATCTCCAAAAGGCAGAGAGTCCTCATCTCTCTCCACACCTTCCCATTTATATTACCTCCTTTCTTCCCTTCCTCCCTCCCCCTTTTCCTCCATCTCCCTCATTCTCTCTCTCTCTCCATCCTCCTGGTTCACTCCTGCCTAGAGGGCGCTGACTTCTTCTCCAGTGCCCCAAGACACAGCATTTGGATCCCAGACTGCGGGGCTTCTTCCCTTTCCCTGCCTTCCTTTCATCTGCCAAGTCCCCACCGATGGCTCCAGAGAGAAGAAGGAATGGGGTGGGTGCCCTGGGCTCTGTTACCCCATTGGCAGTCCAGCATCCTGCCAGGAATAGGACATGCCCCAAGGATGGATGGCCCAGGACTCTGAGGCAGTGAGGTGAGTGACTGAAGGATTAGAAGGCTGGGAGGGAAAAGGAGGGAGATGAAGACAAAAATGGAGTGAAGATAGGAGTGGAGATTGGAAAGATATAGGAGTAAAGACAAAGGAGAAAGAGAAAGAAAAGTAAAGGGAAGAGAAAGAAGCTCTGCTCTGGCAGTGGGGGTGGGGTCAGGGAAGAAGAGAGAAGAATGGGGACATGGCTCCCCCTGCAGCAGTCCTTTCCTTCATCTGCCCCTGGCTGGCCTTGGGTCTCCAGGTAGGAATGGAAAGCATGCACCTGTTGGCCACAGGGCCATGAGATGTTGGCTGAGTCTTTGTCACCTATGGACTCATTCTGAACTGAGCATGGGAAATGAACAAGCCATGGGATCAGGATACCTTCCCCAGAAAGAGTAAAGGGTCAGGCACCAGCTAAGCTTGGGGTTGGGTGTCTGTGGCCCCCTTTTATAATCACTGCCTTCTCTCTTCATGGCTCCTGTGTACCTGTGCTTGTCTTAGTTGGTTCCTTGCATGAGGAACCCTATCCATTTCAGGCCACCCAGGGCTCCTCTGAAGGACCTGGCAGATGATGTAATGTGTGCAGGGAGGGGCAGTGCCCCCGAGAGGACTTTTCTGTCTCCTCAAACCTCTCTGCCCTCTGCCTTCCACTGCTGCCTCGGAAGGCCTCTGCTCACTGTTGGTGGCTCAATTCTGGTCCCTTACTCTTGAAACCCTGGATTCTACCGAGGAATGCCCCTCCCTGGTATTGCACTAAAGAAACAGATGTCATGATGACAGCCACCCAGGGCCTGGGCCTTTGGCATGGGAGGGAAAGTCCCCATGTTAACCTGAGATTCTAGGGGAGACCCTTTACATGCAAGGGAAAAAACGTTCCTTCCAGAATAGATTGGGGATACTCTGTATCATCTCAGTAGCAGGAAGGACTGTCTCAGCATGAGTCTGGGGTGGAGGATGTTTCTCAGCCCAGATCAGCAATATCTGCCTCGAGACTCAACACTCCTAGTCCTGGTGGGAGGGGGGGAGGGGAACTGCATCCTGGAGCACATTCTTTGGTGGGCATGATAGAGAAAACTAGATGCAGAGTCTGGAACCAGACCCCAGACCTTATGAGCAAGCGAGTTGAGAGGAAGGGTAGGAAACCTTGAAGCACAGGGGAGGGATACAGACCAAAAAAAAAAAAAAAAAAAAAGG